CTTGAAGGCTCTACAGGAATCCAGCAAGGAGCATACACATGCACTTACCCCTGGGGATGGTGAAATAACTCCTGGGAGTAGGGTCCCAGCATTTGGCTACCGTTAGGCTGATAGGTCTAGAAAGAAAGAAAATAGGCAAGGATGACTTAACTTTCCTTGCAGAAGTTGTGAGAACCACAATGAACTCTTTTGAACAAACTTATTCCTATCCGGCAGTTGTCAACTACATTTTGAGAATGCTCTTGTGATGCTGGTCAAAGTATGTTGAGTATGAACCAGCATCAGGTTGTTTCAGTTCTTCCATATATCATTAGCGTTACTGGTGAAAACTTGAGTGATCAGCTCTTGAGATTTTAAAACTCTGACCAGATAAGCAAACAGTGCCATCAAAACCATGCAACTCCTAATCTGGGTTGGTTTTAGTTGGTAAATCGGAACCAACCTCATTTATTCATCACTTACACTGAGAAGTTCAGAGCTGAGATCAGCAGCCACAGTTGGTTGCTTATTCAGATCAAAATGTCGATTTTTCTGAGATTTGCTCAACACTAATAACTGCATAAGGAGGATAAGTACCAAAGGAGATTTTGTAATATGCTCACCCCGGCTTGGAGACTATTTCCCGTAACACCCGGACTGCATCATCATTGCTCATGTTCTCAAAATTGACATCATTCACCTGAAATGTTGCAAAAGACAGAGGTCAAGCTTTGCAATAGGAGAGGTGAAGACATTTTAATTATTTGTTTCCAAATGTATTTGCCTTAAAACTGTTTCCGTTCTTTTCAGCAGCTGCAGAAATGTTTTGTTTCTCACATAAGCTATCCAGCAAAGAGTTGGCAAAGACTTATAGTTTCAAGTGACAGCAGTCTGTGACACATCTCTCTGACTACAGGTGAACTCTGTTAACTGATTGTTATGTCCCTGGATCTGGTGGGATGACTGAGCTGAAGCTACTAACGTATGAGCCAGCAGCGTGCATTTTTGGACATGGACCAACCTGCAGAAGCATGTCTCCTGGTTCAATTCGTCCATCTGCTGCCACAGCCCCTCCTTTCATAATAGAGCCAATGTATATGCCACCATCGCCCCGGTCATTGCTCTGTCCTACAATGCTGATCCCCAGGAAGTTATACTTTTCTACACAGATAGAAAGTGGAGGGTGGAGAAAACAAAAAACAAAACAAAAAAAACAAGGTGATTGGAAGGATAGCGAAAAGCTAACACCAGGCTACTTCAGTCCTCCAAATCAGTACATGACTTTCTCGCAACGCGTCATCTGGGCCACGTTTGATTTACAACTATCTCAGTTTACCCTTTTGGTCTGTGTCTGCCCTGGCATGTTCACTGCAGCAAGAAAAAGTTGCTAAACATTGTTTTTTCATACAAGACACTGAAAAGTTATATTTAAAAATAAGTAAGGGAATGACATTGAAAGGGAAGGGAATGACATTTCTAGATGTCTACATCTAGAAATTAAGCACATGATCAGTGCTAGGCAAGGTTTGTTTTTCCACACCTCAGAACAGCAGAAAGAATTTGGTGCTACTGAAAGGCGCTGGATTGACAGTCCTGAACATTTCCATCTGGCTAAACAAAGAAATGCATGAGCAGCAGAAACGCAAACTTCAGTGCCCTTTTACTCTTAGTCCTTACAATAAACCTGACCCTTTACCATTTCTAGGAATAAGAGCAGAACTCTAGTTCCCAGGTTCAGAGTTCCAGCTCCTTTCCTGGGCTCATCAGGAAGAATGCTGATCTGCTTGTGTAGCTGACTCACAACTCTCCTGTGTTGGACCAGGAATCTGGGCACCGTCAACAGAACAACTCCTCTCAAATGCCATATCCTTCAGTTCAAACTGGAATCATTTCACATTAAGGGAACTTTCAACGGGCTTCACGGGCTGCTGCACCATGACAAAAATACATCTGGATCACTTAAAGTTCATCATTAAAAATGTATTGCTCATCTCTTACCCATGTTGAGAGTGACAGTGATGATATTTAGGGACATGGTAGAATCAGTGATGCTGCTGAACGAGGATGACTGCAAAACACAACAGAGAATTCTCCAGGTTTTAAATGACTCAAAGTAAGACAATAAAAATAATCACCGAAGACAATTTTATCGGGACTCGATTAATGTTTCTGTTTGGAAGGTATCCAGAAACCACTGTGGCCTCCTCCAAATTACACTTCATTTAGAATCTGCGAAAAAAGAACATTCAAACGCAATCTGCGCTTTCTCCAAAGGCTTGTCTGCAAAACACACAGAGCAAGTTCCTGCACTGAGGTTTCTCAACTGTAGTTCACTCTGAATCACTTCTGCTTCATGACTACATGACTGGCAGACAGAGACATTTAAGTACTAAAGTGCCCAGTGTAGTGTGAATTATTATACCCACAGCTTCTCCCTAAAGAGACATGTGAAAAACATACGACCCTTCAGAAAATCTGTGAGAAGACACACCAAAAAAGTACAAACATGTTCAAGAAATATGTTTGAAAACAGCTTTTCTCACTATTACTCCACTTCTAGTGATAAAATAGATACATATTCATTCCTTCATTGCAGAAGACAGATATTTATAGGAGAATGAAATAAGTACTTGGAGAAGGTAAAGTGTCATCTGAATCACCCTCATCCCGCTACTAGAGGACTGGCACAGAAAAGCGCAAGAGAAAAGATTTGCAATATTCTATAATTTCTCCTTCAAGCAGAATACAAGACTGGGCACTTTGCACATCAGATGTCCAATACCACAGCCACCTTTGCATTAACCCTTTGCCCAGACCAGACAGTGGCATAATGGAGGTTCTCTTATAGAACTGTCTCAAAAGAGGCAACAAGAAATGTGATTACTCAAAAACAAAAGGAGGAAAGGGAAGGAGAAAAAGGCTCTTGAACCACCTAATACTGCAGCATTTGAAACGTTAAGAGATTTAGTCCAGAGACCACCAAACCAAAGGGAGGCTTTACAGTGAATTCAATAGGATACAGAATCTGAATCCCTTCCCAATTCACATGCTACACTCAAAATCATGGTTCACCTCCTCAGAAAATTATGATGCCAGCCTTACCCTGTCAATCTGCCGCATCCTTTGTTTCCTCCTCCTGCGTTTATGCTTCCGTATGAGCCGGGACGAAGTACTTTGCTCAGTGGAGCTACTCAACCTGGGGGAAATTCAGAGCAAATTTCAACTCTGTAAAGCTGAGCCATTTGCCATTCTCTGCACCCTTCCAAAAAAGGCTGACTACCACAGATACAGAAGAGCGTAAATCGCACAGACACCATTAACTAGCTTACAATGTATTGCTCTGCTTGCTGCTGAATTGCTGCTTGACCCCAGCATGTGCTGTTATCCTAGCCACTGCTCAGGAGCACAGGGAAGTTACTGGCTAAATTGCAGCATGGTTTAGAGAGTATAATTTATTAGCTTTCTTCCTCCTAGGGAGAAGAATGAACTCAAGCCTCACCTCAACAGACATATATCACCCTGACTTTACCACCCAAAGGTCACAGGTAGCTATCTTCCAGTATTTAAAGGTAGTCCTGACCTCACGTCCATGAAGGAAAACGAGGAAAACGCAAACTGTAAGAGCAGCTGTATACTAAGCAATGATTTTAAACTGCTCTGAGAAAAGCTGCAGAACAGACAACCTGGAGAATCTCTTAATTTCTGTGGGCCTTGTCCTGGTGCTGTTATTTTCTTGTACTGCTAATTACCACATTCGCAGGAACTTAATGTAGTGGCTTGAATTTTATGAAATAAAGTAGCAGTTGATAATAGCTACTATCAAATAGCGATGCAAGAATAGCGAACATGATTTATGCCTACATGTTTTGGTCTTTTTATTTAGGTTATAGGGCTTTTTAAGGCTCTCCTAGAATTATAGAGCCATAGCGTGCCACATTCTACATATATATTTATCCTTAAGATCCCCTTAAGAGTTAATAATGTTAACTATTCCCAGACCGAGATACAGAAAGAGAAATTTATTTGCCTAAGTTAACTTTAAAAGCCTGGAACAAAGCCTAGATTTCAGAGATACCAGTGTAACACCAGAAGTACATCTCTCCTCTATTTATTAAGCTAAGAACAGTAAAACAGGCTAAGTAGGTAACGCTCCACCTTTAATCAGGATAAAAAAGATCTAACCCTACCACACAAATAACTGTCACAAAGACGACAGTGCCAGTCTTTTTCCCTAATCTCCACATTCCTGTCTTCAAAGCTCTAGCTACATGCATAAACGTTAGAATACCACAAGCAAAACTTGATTTCAGCAATCTCAAGGAGCTTGCTATCGTAAGAGTTCAACCCACCACACTGAGCAACCCAGCAGCAATACAGTAGATGCATTTTAGTCAAGTGCGCTGAACTCAATATCAGAGATGATGGAGCCACTCAGAGGACAAATCTCTTGACTTATTCTTTGGGTTCACAAAACTATTTCAGGCATTTTAACCTCATACACTCCTTTTCCCCTCCCCAGCAAGCCAAACTCATTTAAAGAGACAAGAGTTGGTGTTTTGAAAAGAGATCAAAGATTTGATAATTCTCAATGTCTGGAACCAACTCTCAGGGCCTAGTTTTCTGAGGCTGAGCATCTTCAACTGGGAAAATAAAAGAGTTCCCTTAGACGCTGGGCTCCCAAAATTGCGTGTATTCAGTATCAACCACTCTTTTTAAAAGTATTGGCAAAGGTGTTTTTCGTGGAGCTAGAATTCTCCATTCAAACTAGACTGCCAAAGGCAGCTCCCAAAATTCAGTAACATACACCATAAAATCAAATACTCCAGCATTTCACTTTCATCTCTGTCCCTCACTTCACCTCCCCGCTATCAGTGAAATTCAGACCTATCACTTGAATCTTACTTAAGCCCTATAGAAAGAATGCAAAGGAAAGGGACTTACTTGATGTTAGCCCCTTGCATTACAGCCTAGCACAAACCATTTTACTAACAATATTCTCCCTCTTCTTTTCTCCCCTCCAGTTTAACTCTCCTTCTCTTCTATTTCAGAACATCTCATTAGCAGGATTCAGTTAAAACCTTCCAACATACAACAGTAAGGGAGAATCTGAAGAAAGCCAAGGCATATTGCTCGTACCACAGTGAACCTGCCTCCTCTTTGAGAAGGGCAGCAAAAAGAAAACAGGCAAAAAGACTCTGGGGAAGCTTTTCTGCCTGAACCCGAGTCAAGCAACAAAGATGCCTTCAAAGGCTATAAGACAGATGCGAGTGCCCTTCTTTCGCTGTTTAGAGTAAATTCAGCGCTCCAAGCTGCAAATAAACCCTCTGCCTAGATATTCCATTCCCTGCTGCAGACACAACACAGGGAGATAAAAGGCCTGCTCTTTTGCATGATGATGCAAGACTTCCCACTAATTTTTGAGGCAGCTGGGCTGGACCATAACAGAAAAGATAAAGCATCACAATTTTATCAGCTTTTTGGCTAATTGCACCTTTGGCTCTAATTGCACCTTAAAGCCATTCACAGGAGCCAGTCAACCGATTTTTATTGTTTAGATCCGTATTTTGCCTGCTGCCATACCACATTTTATAGGATTTATCCCAGTGCATCACTTAAGGAATATGCAGTGCCTCCTGTCCCAACTTTTTCAAAATGACATCCCTAACGGTTACTGTCAATAAAGAAAATTCATTAAATTTATGCATGTCATTTCATTTATTCAATTTCCCATTACTAGGTGCCTGATACTAGGTGCCTGAAAGGGTTAATGCCTTCGGCTAACAATGTCTACTGTTAAAAGCAGTTTTAGGCAATAATGTTCATATAGCAGTGAAGGAAAACGGAGAGAAAGCCATCCTGAAAGCCACACCTCCTACAGCAGGAGATGAGGGAGGGAATTCACCCAGTATTACAGAATCACAGAATGGTTGAGGTTGGACGGGAACTCCAGAGATCATCTAGTCTAACCTCCCTGCTCAAGCAGGGTCACTGACAACACGTTGCCCAGGACCCTGTCCAGACAGCTTTTGAATATCTCCAGTAGCAAAGTCCTTTCTCCACTTTCCAGGCAAAGGCTGTTTGTCTGAATAGCGATTTATGGAAATACGGGATAGGAATAGAACAGCTTCAGCACACAGGTTACTCAATTTCTTTGCCTTAAGCAGCCTTGGCAGCAACCTGGTGCTATTCCATGGCACCTTATGTCCTTCCTAAGAAGCAACCGAAAAGTAACTACCAATGTATGCTAGCTTATTATCTTGTCAAATTCAAAGTTTTCATTATTCCTGTGCCCTGTCAGTAAACGAGATCTATTGACTGCCAATGCTGACTGTTTGTGCCAATTTCCTCCTTCTGTTCTTGGGTGTACGTCAATAAGTTGTTGCTCAGAAAAAACAAAGAACGATTACTCCCAAATTTTAGTCTCATCTAATAAAATTGGGCTGGATAAAAATATCTTTTTGCTTGCGCTCAGTATGGCTGGAAAACAGAATTGCTCTCTGACTCTCTGAGTATATAAGTATAGATATTCATTACTATCTTTATAGAGATATATCAAGGATGAGCCCAAAAAGATGGGCTAAAAAAAAAAAGAATGAAAAGTCTAAATATACTGCAGAAAGATGACATCCGAGATGATGGAGGCGTGAAAAATTAGCTCATGCCAATACCAGCATCATGTTCCTTCTTCGCTTTTGCTCTCTCAATGTACTTTGGCAACTTTGCAAGGGGAAACTCCTTTGGAAAATGGGTTCAAAATTTAACAAATGATACCAAGTTTAGATTCCTCTGTAAACAGTGAACATTTGGGATTTCTCTCTCTCTCTCTCTCTCTCTTTTTTTTTTTCTTTTTTTTTTAATTAAGCCACCAAGAACAGAGTTTTCTGGCAAATTTCCGGCACTTCTGTTTTCAGATGGTAATATATGAAGAGAAGTGATATTATTCTCATCTGTGGTATTTTCTCATTTCACACAGTATCAGATTGCAGGAATGGAAATCAGTTCCTTAGAAAGGCCATAGTTGACATTTATTTCAAGATGACAGATAATATCCCAGGGAATTACTCAATCTAAAACAGTCTCTTACATTAGCTTCACAAAGTTCATGATCAAGAGGCACTGAAGAAACATTTTTATGTGCCTAAACATTGGCTTCTTCACAGATAAACATTAGAAGATGGTGTTGAAAAACGTACACAAAGAAAAAAAAGAGTACCTATACTACATTGGAGAAAACACAAATGGAGGACTCGACTCAGTTTTTCATCCCTTCCTGTGAGAAGCTGGACTATGACTTAAGTTGTCTTAATAAATCTACATGCAACATAGTTTGCTTTGACAAGACTCCTCTACTGTATGAAAGCATATTTGTAAACAGCAGGTTTCACAGTCTCGACAATTTCTTAAAAAGGAGTCAAGCCTAACTCTTTTTTCATACAGCTACAGTACATTAACCATCTCTACTTGTCTTTCTTTTTTTTTAATCCACAGCCATAATACATCTTTGTTGAATCATTCATAAACACTGCATATTTCATATCCTACTAGTATCTGGATGCTAAACAGTAGCTCAAAGTATTCCAACAAGTAGTAATTTTTTAATCTCTGCAGTATTCCCAGAAATGATATGATTTTTGCAATCTGCTGAACAAGACAAGGTAGTATATATATATATAAGCTTTTGGGAAAATTAAAATGCAGAGATGAAAAAAAGAAACCAGTAATCGTAACTACCAATTTCCTGCACTAGCTACTGGCCAAAGCCCCGACTGTACTTTTAACAGAAAGGCTAATAAACCCCACAGGAAAGATTACCAAAAAAAAAAAAAAAAAATCAATCTACATTCCCCAAGGAAAAAAGTAACAAATGATCTGTTAAATTAAAGGAAAGCATCTCTATATGTTTTTAAAAGTACCACTGTTAATTTTGAAGTGAGAAATAAATGTAGTTGAAATTTTCATAGTGAATTATTTTAGTTACTTTAGAGTAATAATACTAACTGTTGGTTGTGAACAATAATCCTACAGCCACATGCCTCCCATGTTCTCGATAGTTATTTGCTTAGAAAAGTAAGGCAGAAACAACAGTTATTGAAAAGGTTACCGTGAGCTCCCTACATCAATCTGTATCCAAAACATCACCTATTACCTATAAATGCCACTAAAATTAAATTATATCATAATTTGAAGACAAAGGAAAAAAATCATTACATTCACATTACTTCAAGGGCCCTTTAAGAACAATTTTTTTTGTCTCTTTTCCTACATCCTAAAAGAAAAATAAAGAGTAATCAAAACAGCAAGTTTCTGTTCCCCAAATTTCAAAAGTCAGTAAAATTGTCATTGTACTTGAAGAACTTCTGACAGATATCTGCCTGTACTATAAAAATGATGCCTCATGCCATACAAGAAAAAGAAGTCAAATGAATTTTGCTAAACACAATACATCTTTAAAGTAGAAATTTAACAGATAGAAGTAGGGTGAATGGAGGGAACTATACTGTCTTGTAGTATCTGTGAACAATTAACTCACTGGAAAAAAAAAAAAAATTGCTCTTTCTCTCTAACTAAATGTAACATAACTTCCTTGGACAGGAAATTAACTAAATCTGCTGCACTGCTCCAAATTGAAAATAAAAATATAAAACAACATCAAACACTCTTAGAAAAGCATCCTGAACCTTAAAGCCTCTTCACTTCTAAGGCAGTAATATTCTTCATGTCTGACTTCTTCTCTCAGCATCCTCCATATACAACCTCCTCCACAACGCAGATACTGACACTAGAGCTCGTCAGCTGTTAATAAACAAACTTACCCCCTTGAACCTCTTCCCCAGGCCCCAGTCTCCAGCAGAGAGCATGCTTGATTTTCTATTCGGCTGTACTTGCCTCTTAAGAAAACCTCTCCTTGCCAGCACAATCGCTCATCTGCTTGAGAACACCAGCACTGTAACACAACAGAATACCTCGAAGCATTCCACTACGTTGTTCTTCCTGACTAGCTGGCCTGACAGCTATTTTGTGTGCCAAGAGTTTCTATCCTAGAGAGGAAAAGGCCTCCCCAGCAGTTCTGAAGAGCCTCTTTCTTCTTAGGTCAGGCACAGGAAGTTTTACTTTACTAATAGATGGAACGATTTGCTGGGTCTAGTATACTGTGCTTCAGCAGCCATTCTGACTGTGCGCGTACTCTCAGAATCTGCTACGGCATATCTTGCTGCCATGGAAATAACTCATTTATTTACCAGAAACAAAATCTGCGGGTTTTTTACTGTTGCTGCTGCTGCGGGGGTTTTTAGGGCAGAAGGGAGCAGCGGAAGCCGTAAAGGCTTTAGGAAGGTCTAGAGTACCTTCAGGTTAAGGGCTGATCCCGCTAAACATTTCTGTACTCATGTATATACTCATGAATATCCAGGTGAACTACAAAGCATCCAAAGGACTAATTCTCATCCAAAGGACTAATTTTCTGTATCTTCAGGTGTCGGCAACTTTGCTGTAACTGCAAAACAGGTTCTCACACCTAGTCCAGAACCAAATCTTAAATGTTAATGTAGTTACCATTTCAATCCTTCGGAAACACCCAGCCTCTAAACAGCAGTTGAAGGAACAGGTATTTTTCAACAGGTATTTAAGCTGTGACTAACTGTAAGATCACAAATATATCCACTGAACTCAATCAGCTACTCATCTGTTTGTAAACACAGCAAACATTTAAGTATCACCTCCATGAGTTGTTGTTCTATGCTGTTTCTCATCTACCTAGAATTTAAGAATATCATATTTATACCCTGTTTTAGCTAGAGGTCTCTCTGAACAACTAGAGATCTGCAAAGGGTTTTTGTATCCTGTTTGGATGCATGGGATGTTATAACAGCTCTAGAAGCAATGTTTAGAGAACACTGTCACTGAAGCCAGGAAGGGGAACAATATTAGTTTTGACTGGCTTTGCACCTTTAAATATAAACTTTTTCAAATCCGAGAAATTCATCAGCTTATAAACCTTTTAAGGAATCACTAAAACATCTTGAGAGATTAAAAAGGATGCCTTGAAACGGAAGGCTTTTTTGCTAACAGCAAGACATAATTCATTGCATTCTCCCCGGTTGCATGAAAAGAAAAAAAAAATTCAAAGTCATATAAATATTTGGTGACATGACCTGCCTTTACAAGACGTTAACTTTGACGAACTCCTCTACTTATAGGTCTCGGACAGTATGCAATTCCATAGGAATTGCTTTCCAATTCTGCCTTAGTTAAGTGTACACTTATTAAGAATCAACGATGAAAGCATTTTGTTATAATATTCACAAGACTACTTTACAAATAGGCAGACAGTTGCACATTGCTTTGATTCTAAGATGTAATCACCCTTGTTATTAAAAGGGAAGGGACAGGAACAGAACTTTTTTCTTAACTGGAAAAGTGGCTCTCAGCTATAGGAAGAACCTCAAAAACTGAGCTGGTTTCTCTGAGCAGCGTTCAGGTACAATATGATGTGACTGACGAATTATCAGTGCTCAAAATGCTCAAATCATAGCTAGCAGAAAAATGGAGGAGAGGCAAGGGAAGAGGTGAGGGAGGAGGAAAAGGGATGTGAACTATCTCATCTCCTCAGTTAACATGTTTAAGGAAAGCCCAGAAACAGTCAAGAGGCTGGAAAACAGATGCATAGAGTATTTAACAACTCAGTCACTATGCCAACACCCTACCTGCTTGTGTTGTCATCATCATCAGAGTCAATGAAGCTGCTGGATTCCAGTTCACTGCTCATCATGGTGGAAGAGCTGTCATAGCCAGGAGGGTGCTCACGGTGTCTGTCTAGTTTGGGATGGCCATTGATCCGAGGGACTGCAAGAAGAAATTAAATGGAGTATTATTAGGTAAAGAGGAAGAGGCAGAAAGAAATAATACATAAAGCATCACTGAGAGTAGCACTGCATTCACAGTGCCAGTTGTGGACAACCCTACAGGAGGATCCTTATGCAGAAACCAAGTTATTTTGTAGAACCTGATTTCAGTTAACAGCTTAAAAAGCTATTACACTGGCATACCTGCCTTTTTCATAGCTTGTTTATTTGTCTGTGGCTCAGTTCACGTGCTGTATTCAAGACTGAATAGGCAAGCCATAAAGGGATCAAAGAAGCAGTAGCAGGCATGAACAAGTACTATAATGATATTAAAATGTGCTCTAGAATGGCAATAAGCTGTTAATATCAAAAGGAAGGTTCACAAAAAGATCTTGGGAAAGCAGTAGTCAACACCGTCTGAGTTTGGTATGGACAAGCCAAGCAGCACAGAAAACCTTAAAACAACATTCCCCGATGAATTCTATTAACTCCTCACCCATAAAACCATCCGTTTCCCTGATCTGTCCTACTCCTTCCTATGCCCTTACCTACACCACCTTGTCTGGGCAATACAATCATATCAAAGTCACAGTGTCTTGGCCATTCCATATGCACAAGGCACTTCAGAACAACTTTTTACTAACCCCTGGCTGTGAGGATGCATTCAGAAAGCACAGACATTCCTCTAGGTAACCTTTTCAGTAAGAATGCCATTTACTTAAATGCACCAGTGATTCATCTTTCTCTAGAGAAATTCTAAGATTTTCCTCTGCAAAGCAAACTCCTCTGCTTCCTTTCAGAAACCTCTCGTTAGAAGACCCTTAACCCACAAGTGTTCTATTTCATCAAAAATGCTCTTATCCCCGAAAAGGAAAGGCTCAGCTTGATAAGCCACCTGATCAAGAAATAAACATAACAGGTTTCTGATATTTTTAAGCACACTTTCCAAACTCTCAGTTCCATCCTAGATCCAAGGGGCCTGCTCCTCAATAACAGAATGGAAAACCTTCAAAAAGGAGGAATGTCTCCACTCAGAATTTTACAGAAGATGCTGTGCAACTGCACACATCAAAAGTTCAGTAAGACACTTCTTGCTCAGTTTTGAAGTAAAATTGCTTGAAAATCTAAGAGGCAGCCTGGATACCTGGCTGTGAAGTCCAGCTTAGCCACCCTTTACCACTGTTTCAATTTTCTCATCTGTGAAATAATAAAAGGTTTTTCCTTCAAAGGTGCTTTCATCCATAACAAAAACAGAAAAAAAAAATGGAGAAGGGAAAAATACCCAGATTCCAAAGCTGAGAAAACAGCTGCCTTCATCAAATTAACAGGCTCAAGACAGAGTCCTGCCTGTTAAGGTTAAGGTGAATGCCACAAACTTGAACCATTAACAGGCCTCTTTTCCTTGTGTTAAGCATTAGGTTTTTAAATCTTTACATTGTGCAACCTAAAATTCAAAATATTTCACTAGATCTGGAAACTTGGATGCTAACCCCAGCATCAGATAAATTCAATCCAATTTCTTCAGCATCAGATTAAGTTTTTAAAAAAAAAAAAAAAAAGACGAGGACAAGTCCAGCCACCTTGTCCATTTTATTCTTAGCTTTTGCACAGTGAAATACCAGAAATGAAGGAGCAAAATAATGCCCCTTATCAAAACGGATTGCATAATCCCAACATGCATTCATTGGGAAACAGCTAACTTGCCTGACATTGGTGTTGCTATGTGGCAGCTGGATGATAACCTTCAAGAAGGCAAAGGGAACATGAACCTCTTGGCTCTCTTTTAAACATACTGCAGCTTTAAACAACTTCAGGAGGAGTTGTTGGCACGTGAGAATATCATCACCGGCAAGTAAGTATGCTGAACTAGCAGAATGCAGCAACATTACCATCCACACAAGCTCTGTGCAAATATCCTGAATGACAACCAAGAAGAAGGGTGATGCACATATAATACTTTGTAGCAAAGCATTCAGGATTCTGCCTTACGATGCACAGAGAGCCTCACCAAATGCAAATCTAACACAGTCCTAAGCAGCTTTGAGAGCTGGCTTCTGATCACTTAACAGCCTTGCTTCTGCTCAAGTTTTCTTTCCGACTTCAATGGGAAGCTAGAGCAAGTCTTTGAAATTTACTAGCTGACACAGCATTTACAACAAATTTATTAGCTTTTACCCTTTGTGGGTTTTAAATGTCTATTTTTCATAGAAGAGCAGTATATAAGCTAGAAGGGGTAGCAGTCGAAACAAGTCATAGAAAAAAAAACTTACTTACATTTTTCCACTGGAAAAAACTTCTTTATTAGAGCGCTTGCTTTTCTTGCATTCTTTTTGCTATTCATCACTTGCAATTTATAAAACCAGTCACATCGCTTTTAGGTGATAATGTTAACTTTATTTGGAGAAGCTGACATTAAACAGAGCCCTGATATTATAAACAAGCCCCTCTCAGGGGCAGCTTTCCAATTCCAGTGGGGTGGGTAGTACAGATTACAGAAAACAACGACCTGGATTTTATCCCCATTAAACTGGTATAAGTAGGAAGCAGTTTCGGCAGCACGCCTCTCTCATGAGAGATACTTTATTTAAACTTGTTTTTGATTATTATTAAGTACACAGCCCAGAAAGTTGCCAACACCATTTTCTAATCTTCCTTTTCTGCAAAAATTATTCTGCTTTTGCAGCTGGGAGTGGGGGAGGCTCTGATCATCAATAGGTGGGTTGTCCTGAAGTACCTACTAGAAATCACCAGTCCTGTCTTTGCCATCACTGGTCATGATCAGACAGCACAGTTTCTTTATCTCATTCCAAGTGGGTAGTCTAAAGGCTTTCACTCTTGTGGACCTCCTCCTCCTCCTCTAAACTTCCATTCTGCATTCTCTCCTCTGCTGAGGATTCTGGATGTCATCAATTAGAGAGTATTAAAGAAAGGTATCTACAGACTGCAATCTCCAAGTTCTCAAGGAGACCTTGCACAGCTGCCAATGAAGAATGCTATGATAACAGGACATCTTCCCAAGTGTCACATCTCACCTATAGTGAGTCATTTATTCGGGAAATTTTTGTGCTCATAAATTGTCTATGTGCAGGTGGCTATTTCATTGAATTTGCCATTCAGAGTCCTTTGCCAAATACTTTCAATAGATAAACCTCCAACTCAGTTGATTTGCACAGAAGATCTGTTATTCATGTCTCTAACCACTGGACACCAGTCAGCTGCTGTGTGTTGTTCCTCTACTAGTAAGAGGCTTCCAAACTCCAAATCTGAATTTGCTTCCTGCTAGCATCCTAAAAGGCTGTTCTCAGTCTGTCTCTAAGCAAGCTTTCTTTCAACTTAACTTAATATTTATGCCACTAAAGACTACAGTAATTCAGCTGGGCTCAGATACAAGCTTTCTGACTCGCACTGTTTTAATTCTTGTAAAAATACTCTTGCTCTCCTGCTTGTCTTAAGATTTATGATTACAACACAGCAGGCACATACAATGCATTGTGATTATTTTACATTCTACATAATTACTGACAAGACCTGAAACTTTTTGGCTTCTCAGAATAACCCACCATTTACATTTCCCTGAAGTACATTTTGCCTGTTGTTTCACAGGCTATAAACTTGAAGCTATGACTTGGATTCCTATTATCCTATCAGATGGAATGGCCTGCTAATCCTATGAGTAATATTTAGTCTCCAACACTTTCCCCACTCATTACCAGGTAAATAATTTACCCCAGACATAAGCTTCATTAGCTCACAACCATTACAAAGAATTGAAGGCCAACCTCAATGCTCTGTGCTCTTTAGCTCTCAAAGGGGAATTTTCTCATAGAGGCAGAATTTTAACTAGCCGAATACTACCTCAAACATGCTGTGCAAAACTCACCAATAGAGTGTTTTCTTTAGGACTGCAAATTTCAGTGAAAGAGCAATACCTCTGCAGAACAGTGTTACACTGCTAGATCATCTGTGTTTGACAGTGGAAACGCTAAACTTCTGTTCATTTCCTTTTCAACTGCAGTAACAGAGAAGACTTAAGACAAGTGATGCGTAACGCTTACTAAGGATATTCCTGTGTCACAAGAACAATCAGGAAATTACAGAGGAAGCCAAGGCATAGAAATGGGATCCATGGGTATTCTCCCCTCAGCCTGCACATTTCCTGCACTAACTGAACTATAGAGAAATTCCAGCTTGAAACAATGCCATGGCTTGTGTATCAGGTATTTTTCAATGACTGGCTGTCCCTGAAGGGATGTGCTATTAACCCCAAGGAGTCACAAGGTTGGAATGCTGTAAAGTGTGCCACAAATCGCTCAAGATTCTGCAGTGCCAGCACCAGTTCTGAGAACTCAGGCAAGAGAGGTTGCATTTTTGGGCAAAGATAACAGAACTCGTGCCAAGAAGGCAAGGACAGAATCAGTGCTGCAGCCTCTGCATCCAAAGGAATGCTCAAGAGCAATCAATGGGTCCACTATGGCAGGATCCAAGTTCAAGAACCTGGGGAGCATCCAGCTGAAGATGTTACTAATGCTGCCATACATTAACATGGTCTTTGGTTCCAAAAGGCTTCTTGGCATACAACTCTCCAAAACTAGAAACAACCCTCCAAACTTTCACACATCCTTCAGATACAGTGTGCATTACCTCACCTTTATACTGCCTACTTCAGTTACCCCATACAGACCAAGGTCACTGACTGCTTGGGAACCTCAGTTGAGATGAACGTTAATACCTACAGTGGTACATGTGGGGCTGTGCTTCTTGGATAGCATCTGATCGGTTCCAATGGCCTCCTCAGGTGGTGACACTACTTGTGACAGTATCTCCTACTGGGACTGGGTCTCTGAGGGAAATGCTGCTGTGGGTGGTGCTCCTGTTGTATCTCCTGCTGTGGCTGGCTCCTTCCAAAACACTCCAAAAATGTGGGAGTGACCATTTCCTGCCCACACTGTGCCCACTTAAAGAAATCTCCAGTGTGCACTGCAAATAACTCTCTGTCCAAGT